ACACACGCACGCACGCACGCACGCACGCACGCACGCACGCACGCACGCACGCACACAAGCACGCACACACACACACACACACACACACACACACACACGCACACACACACACAAACACGCACACACGCACGCACGCACGCACGCACGCACGCACGCACACACGCACACACGCACACACACGCACACATTCGCAAAAAAACAACAGCTTGTCAAGACATATCTTCGCAAACTCAACGCTATGCCAATAACGAGCTCAGTGGTGCAGCGTTGCTCTTGCACCGCTTGGGGCTGGGGTCCCAGTGGGCCGAGAATGGAAAGAAAAGCCAAGCACAACAAACAGGGCGCATCATGGCGATGGACCTTCGACGCCCCCCTGGGGGCGAAGCTGCAAGCTGACGTGCCTACAGCAGGGCGCACACGCAGGTCAACACACAAATACGGAGGGAAAAGCACCGCCCACTCTGACCACGGCACGAGGAGGACATCCCGCGGATGCTCGCGCGGGTCCTGGAGAACCTTCTCCTGGGCCATGACCAGCTCCTGCGCGAGCTTCAGCTCATCCTGGCAATCCATAGGGGGCCGCATGCGAACCCTACCCCTACCCCCCACGATTTTTGAGCGGGAGGGTGGGGTTCACTTGGCTCGGGAGCTCCCGAACGAAGTGAACCCCACCCTCCCCCTGAGAAATCGTCGGGGGTATGGGGTAGGGTTCGCATGTGGCCCCCTAATCCAGGCCAGCACAGACGGGCGGACGGAGCCTGAAGCCGGGCGTGTCCCTCTGCAGGAGGAGCATCCAAAAATAGTCAAAAAAAGGTTTGGGAACGATTGTTCGGCTGCTTCCTGACTGTGTTTGATTATGCTCTATTTATTCTTAATATATTCCTTCCAATGTCCGCCTGTAGGCGGACATGCCCGACCTCAGCGAAGCTGGGCAAACGGTTGCGGCAGAAGAGGGTCCCAGCAAGGGGTCTGGGGGGGGGGCCTCCGGGGATCGGGCCCCAGGGCTTGTGACCCCCCCCCAAGAAGGAGCACCCCTCCCAGGGAGAAGCGCTCGGATCCAGAGCGCCAGCGTCGTCGTCGGCGTCGTCGGCGTCGGCGTCGTCGTCGGCGTCGGCGTCGGCGTCGGCGTCGGCGTCGGCGTCGGCGTCGGCGTCGTCGTCGGCGTCGTCGTCGACTCAAGCCACTGCAGCACGGACGAAGTCGGGAGAACGGCTGCGGAAGAACCCGCACGTCTGGCTGCTCCAATTCTGTCGGTGCCTGGGCCCCGGAGGTCCAGACCACGTCCCTGGGCACGGCTGCTCGTCCTGGATCGGATTTTGCCGCTCCCGAGGCCCCGCGAGGGCCCCAGGAGGCCCAAAACGGCCAAAAACCGCCCGCTCCGACTCCGTGCGGAGCGCCCGGTCTCCGGCGGCCGGGCGGGGGCGGTCTCTGGCAGCCCCCGGCGGGCTCCCGGCGAGGCGCCCGCGGCGGGAGAGCCCCTCTGGAGGCCGGGAGGCTGCCGAGGAGCGGCGAACACGCCCGAAAGCCTCGAGCGGGGGGCCCAGCGGGGGAGGAAGGGGAAAGGGAGGCATTGGAAGAGAAGGAGGATGAGGGGGGAGGAGGAGGAGGAGGAGGAGGAGGAGGAGGAGGAAGGAGGAGGAGGAGGTGGAGGAGGAGAGGAGGAGGAGGAGGTGGAGGAGGAGGAAAGGAGGGAGGAGGAGGAGGAGTTGGAGGAGGAAAAGGAGCAGGAGGCGCGGCGCGCCGACGCGCAGAGGACGCGACCCGAGAGCTAAGCCCCGGCTGCCGGCGCATGGCCCTCCCTGTGGGGACAGCGGCTGGCGAGGGTGGGGAGGGGTTTTCGCTGGCGGCCTGTGGACTGGCTCCTGGCAAGAAGCAGAGGGCGCTTGACGCCTGGATCATGCCTCGGCCATCACTACTACCTACAGTCAGCGACGAACGCGCAGCAGAACGACACGACCTCCGTCCTCCTCCTTTCCCCTCCATCACCATCTTCATCATAATCATCATCATCATCATAATCTCATCATCATCATCATCATCATCATATTCATCATCATCTGCAGCAGCAGCAGCAGCATCAGCTTCAGCAAAATCAGCTTCTGCATCAAGCTTCAGCTCAGTCTTCATCATCTTCTCAATCATTCATCATCTTCTTAATCATCTTCATCTTCTTCATCACCATCTCATTATAATCATCATCATCACCATTCATCATCATTTCCATAATTCTATCATTTTTGGTTTTTCAAATCATTTCATCAGTTCATCATATCATCATTCATCATCATCATCATCACCATCATCTTCATAGCATCTGAGTGAGAGCATCATCATCACCATCATCATCTTCATCATCATCATCATCATCATCATCATCATCATAATCATCATCCGCGTCATCATCATCATCATCATCATCATCATCATCATCATCATCATCATCATCATCATCATCATCATCATCATCATCATCAGCGTCATCATCGTCATCATCATCAGCATCATCATCAGCAGTAGCATCATCATCATCACCATCATCATCAGCATCATCATCAGCATCATCATCATCATCAGCAGCAGCAGCAGCGTCATCATCATCATCATCATCATCATCATCATCATCATCGTCATCATCATCATCGTAATCGTCATCGTCATCGTCATCGTCATGAGCATCATCATCCTCAACATCATCATCATCATCATCATCATCATCATCATCATCGCCATCGTCATCGGCATCATCATCATCATCACCATCATCCTCAGCATGATGATGATCATCATCATCATCACCACCATCATCTGCATCATCATCTTCATCATTTTCGTCGTCGTCACCTTCGTCATCGTCGTCGTCTGAGTCATCGTCATCGTCATCATCATCATCATCATCATCATCATCATCATCATCATCGTAATTATTATCATCATCGTCATCATCAGCAGCACCATCATCTTCGTAGTCATCACCATCGTCGCCATCAGCATCATCATCACCATCGTCATCGCAATTATCTGCATCATCTTCGTCGTCATCGTCATCATCTTCTCATCCTCCTTCTCATTCCACTCATCATGATCATCATCATTAAAATCAGCAGCCGCAGCAGCAGCATCATCATCATCCTCAGCATAATGAGCATCATCATCGTCAGCATCAGCATCAGCAGCATCGTCATATCATCATCATCATCGTCATCATCATCGTCATAGTCATCACCATTATCCCCATCATCATCAACATGACGATCATCATCATCACCATCATCAGCATCATCATCATGTTGATCATCATCAGTGCCAGCATCATCTTCATCTTCATCTTCATTGCTATCATCATCGTCATCATCATCGTCGCAATCATCGTCGTCAGTATCGTCGTCGTTATCGTCAGTGGCATCGTCATCATCAGCAGCAGCATCGTCAGCATCATATTCATCAGATTCGTCGTCGTCGTCTTCATCATCATCGTCTTCGTCATCGTCATCGTCATCATCGTCACCATCAGCATCATCGTCGTCATTATCTGCAGCATCTTCGTCGTCATCGTCATCATCATCTCATCCTCCTTCTCGTTCCACTCCTCATGATCATCAGTATCTTCATCAGCAGCCGCAGCAGCAGCAGCACCATCATCATCCTCAGCATGGTCGGCATCATCAGCATCAGCAGCAACAGCATCATCATCATCACCAACAGCATCAGCATCAGCATCATCGTCGTCAGCATTATCATCATCTGCAGCAGCAGCATCATCGTCATCATCATGTTGATCATCAGCAGCATCACCATCATCAGCATCAGCATCAACATCACCAACATCACCAGCATCACCATCGGCATCATCATCATCAGCATCATCATCATCATCACCACCATCACCATCATCATCATCATCATCAGCATCAGCATCAGCATCAGCATCATCATCATCACCACCACCATCATCATCATCATCATCATCATCATCGTCATCGTCATCGTCATCGTCATCACCATCATCATCATCATCATCATCAGCAGCAGCATCATCATCATCATCATCCTCATCATCCTCATCATCATCAGACCCCAAGAGCCCCCCCCCAGAGGCACCCAAGACGCCCCAGGAGGCTTCGGCGAGAAGACCACCATCGCTGACGTTGCTAAGGTTCTGGCAACAGTTTGGCCTCATGGGGGGGAGGGCAAGCTATGGAGCCCCCTCCTTTGATCGAGCTCCTCCAAGATGGGCCCAAGATGGCCCCCGAGGCTCAAAAGTATGCCCCAAGAGGGATGTAAGAGGTGCCCAGGAGGCCCCAGGAGGCCCCGAAGAGGCTCCAACGACACCCCAAAGAGACTCTCAAGAGACCCCCAAGAGGCCCCAAGATGCCCCAAGAGGCCCAACGGAGGCTCCACAGAGGCACGTCCCAAAAGACTTCGGCGAGAAGGCCAAACTCATTGATTCGACCAAGATTTGGGCTACATATTCACCGCCTGGGGGGGGGGGCAAGGAGGAGCCCCCCTCGTTTGATCGATCTCTCCCAAGGTGGCCTCAACATGGCCCCCGAGGCTTACAGGGTGGGTGCCCCAAAACGCCCCTCAGATGTGCCCAGGAGGCCCCAAGAGCTCCCCCAAAGGCCCCCAAGTGGCCCCCAAGCTGCCCCCAAGAGGCTCCCACCAGACCCTGGTTTCGGTGATAAGGCCAAAGTCACTGATTTCGCCACGGTTTTGACAACATGTTGGCCTCCCGGGGAGGTGGGGCTTATTAAGGAGCCCCCCTCCTTCTGATCGATCTCTTCCAAGAGTGCCCCAAGATGGCCCTCGGGGCTGACAAGCGTGCCTCGCGACGGCCCTAAGAGGTGCCCAGGAGGCGCCAAGAGCCTACAAGGTGCCCCACATACGCCCTCAAGATGCCCTCCAAGAGACCCCCCAGAGGCCCCAAGAGGCCCCCCAGAGGCACCCAAGACGCCTCAAGAAGCCCCTGGGACTGCCAGGAGACCCCCAAGACGCCCCAAGGCAACTCCAAGAAGCTTTCGAAAGAAATCCTAAGAGACTCCGAGAGGCATCCAAGAGACCTCTGGCCTTTCTGTTTCCTCCTCCTCCTCCGCCTCCTCCTCCTCCTCCTCCTCCTCATCCTCCTCCCCCTCCCCCATCCCCCATCCCCCTCCTCCTCCTCCTCCTCCTCCTCCTCCTCCTCCCCTCCTCCTCCTCCTCCTCCTCCTCCTCCTGCTCCCCCTCCTCCTCCTCCTCCTCCCCTCCTCCTCCCTCCTCCTTCCTCCTCCTCCTCCTCCCCTCCTCCTCCTCCTCCTCCACCCTCCTCCTCCTCCTCCTCCTCCTCCTCCTCCTCCTCCTTCTCCTCCTCCTCCTCCTCCTCCGCCTCGGATTCCTCCTACATCCTCCCCCCTTTAGGGGTACGACGTCTTACCCAGCCCTTTCTTCCACTGCATGCTCCTCCACATCCCTGTTCAGGGCAACTCCTCTGGGCATCGCGTCTGGATGGGCTGCTGGGGTTGCACCATCGTCTTGAATCGGAGGCCCTCTGGGGCCCTTTCTGGGGCTCCCGATGGGGCGGCCGGGGGGCTCGCAGAAAGGTTCCGGAATCGCCGGGAGGAGGCTCGCGGAACGATCCCGGGGGAGGGCTCCAGGAGGGCTCCAGGAGGGCTTCAGATCGAACGAGAGTGCAACAAGAAACCTCGCTAGGTTGAGGGGGCTGCTATGTTGGATGCGTGATGAAGGCGAAGCTCTCTGGGGCGTGTCAGGGGCGCCGGGCCTACTGTCGTGGAGCAGCTTTGCAGCCTCTCGGGGCCTCGCGGGAGCTCGTTGGAGGCCTCTTAGGTCCTCCTTTGGGCCTCTTCGGGGCCTTTTGGGACCCTCTGAGGCCGCCTGGGCTCCTCTTGGGCCGTCTTGGGGCCGTCTCGGGCGCCTCTCTGGCCGTCCTGGGACCGTCTTGGGCCGTCTTGGGCCTCTCTTCGGGCCCCTTGGGGGTCTTCTGGAACCGTCTCGGGCGCCTCTTGGGCCGTCCTGGGGCTGTATTGCCCGTCTTGGAGACCTCTTGGGGGCCTCTGGGGCCGTCTTGGGGCAATGTTGACGGCCTGTAGGGCAGTCATTGACGCTGTGAAAACGACAAAACGAAAATGCTAAAATTGACAGTTCTCCCGCGGAATTGGGCACGATGTGTGCTTCTTGGGGCCCTCGTGGGGGTTCTCGTGGAGCCCCCTTGGAGTGCCCCGGGGGCCTCTTGGACCGTCTTGCGGTCTTCGGCGTCTTGCAGCGGCCTGGAGAGCACTGGGGCCGTCTCCTCCTGCCTCTCCGTCTTTTTCTTCTTCTTCTTCTTCTTCCTCCTCCTCCTCCTCCTCCTCCTCCTCCTCCTTTTCCTTTTCCTCCTCCTCTCCTCCTCCTCCTCCTCCTCCTCCTCCTTCTCCTCCTCCTCCTCCTCCTCCTCCTCCTCCTCCTCCTCCTCCTCCTCCTCCTCCTCCTCCTCCTCCTCCTCCTCCTCCTCCTCCTCCTCCTCCTCATCCTCTCCTCATCCTCAACCTCATCCTCATCCTCCTCCTCCTCCTCCTCCTCCCTCCTCCTCCTCTCCTCGCCTCCTAATCATCATCATCATCATCATCATCATCTCATCATCATCATCATCATCATCAGCATCATCATCCATCATCATCAGCATCATCATCATCATCATCACATCATCAT